TGCGCAAACGCGGCCTTGCGAAGCGTAAAGCTGCAATCCTTGAGGAGCTTGAGGCAGCCGAGGCTGCGGCCAAAACAGGCGACATGCATAAACTCTACTTCCACGTTCGTAAGCTCTCTCCGAAAGGCCCCCGGGAACGCATACACATCAGAACCTCAGAGGGTAAACTCCTCTCCCCCCAAGCCGAACACGAAGCTATCCTTAAACATTTCACAACGGTGTTCTGTCGAGATGCCACACACCCGGCCGCAGATTGCCACCTCACGCAACCGTGCCCACTCTCCCTCGAGGAGCTTTTAAAGGCGCTGCAGATGCAAAGAGGAGGCCGGGCCATTCCACCGGGGTCGGCCCCACCCGAACTTTGGAAGCACCTCGCCCCAACCATTGCCCCACACGTCCTACCCATCATAAATAACCGCCTTGGTACGGGTAAGTTGACGCTCCCTAGCCTATGGACTGACTGTTGGCTTAAGCCCCTCCCTAAGCCCACCAAACCTCCTACTTGTGCCCCCAACCTCCGACCAATAGGCCTACAGGACCCGCTCGGCAAATGCATCGCCCGAACCCTTAAAGCACGCATCCAGACCGAAATCCTGGGCAAATTGGCTGAAACACCACAGTTTGCATACCTCCCCTCCCGCAGCACCGCCTGTGCAGTCAGCCGAGCAGCTCGTTTTTGCGCGCACATACGCGACAAGCTCTGCAGCGCACGCATCGAGGTTCGTGATAGAAAGGCCGGCAAAACCCGCGCCCCCATCTCGGGGGGTGCTCTGCTTAGCCTAGACATGAGCAAGGCGTTCGATTTGGTGCCACACGTGTACTTAGCCCGCGCCCTCCGAAACCTCGGCGTAGCTGAAAACACCATTAACATTGTACTTGCCTTGCATCGCACCCAGTACCACGTCACGCACAAAGGGCACACTGGTTGTCTTACTTTGCGTAACGGCATACGACAGGGATGCACATTGTCACCGCTGCTGTGGGTATGTGTGTCGCATTTCTTGCTGCATCAGCTCTCGGAGCGCCTTGCCAAGTTCCCGCACCTTGGCCCGCCGGAGCC